GCTGTAGGTGCTGCTTTCGATTAATGTCTCCCACAGACACCACCGTGCACAGACCCATAGTTATCCAATCCTGTGGTCATTTGTTGTTGGCAAAAAAGGTGGAGGGAGCGAAACAGGGATTACTGATATAAGTGGAGAAATGGCTGCATCTAGAAATGGAATGAATAAGAGAGAATAGAATAGGAAAGAATAGTGTGATGTTTACCAAGCTCTTCTCTACAGCATTAGTGACCCCTGCATCAACCTGCTTCTCTTCCTGCAGTCCCCAGCCTGAACATTGCATGATTTATTAAGAGTGCCTGCTACTGTGAGATACACAAGTACAAACATACACACAGTAATATATACGAACACTAACAGACTACTTAAAACAAATTATAAACACCAGATTTTCAAGCCAATACTAATTTAGCACAATCGCACAAGTGCGCACAAACACTCTTATGGCCTAATAAAGTGAGCCCGTTCCTCATTCAGTCCTCTAAGTGCTGTATTAGTACATATTTAAAACAGTCTCAGGAGACTGCTGCTCTGAGTCTACACATCCCATAAACTGTTATCTAAAACTCTCCCCTAATTATACACAATCATGCACACAAATGTATGCACAAACACACATCTCACAAATATTTCTTGGCTGTGACCTAGGGGGGATCCAACAGTGGAAAACAAACATCTTCTAGAAGTAGGTTGTGTGGGGATTAGCAAACTGGGACGGAAGAGAGGAGGAGGAGACGGAGGGAGGGAAGAACGGAGGCCATGGAAGTAAAAAGCAGGGTATTCCCCTCTCGCACCCTGTGGTCATTTTCAACAAGTAACCAGTCATTTTATCAGACCTGTCCAAATGTGGAGCAGCGACTGCCCTTCCATCAGGTACAGAATCAGAAGAGACATTCAACTGCATAATTTTCTGTGCATGATGTATTGTCTATAAACTGTGCTTCATGAACGACCCAGGGGTAAATCTACAGTGTCGATTGTATCACTCAGCTGACATGTTTGTACCAGCACTGAATCATTTTGCTGTAATGTAAACTTAAAACAGTGCCAAGAGACATGTGTTATTCATTACCTTGGACATTTGTTCTTTGGCTGACAATGACCTTGAGCAAGTGTACTGCCAAGAAAAACAGTCACAAATGTTGTGAACTCTGTCAGCAGATGCTGTTATATACCTAATCAACAACCCCCTGCAGCATAACGCTCCATGCCTTTTTGTCTTTTATTGCTAATGTATTAAATATCTCATGCCTTTAACTGATTGGTCTACAACACGTGAGAGGCCCCTAGCAGCACGAACACACACACGGCACTTTCTTTCTGATTGGTGGCTCATTCAGGAGAAAGTGCATGGAACAGACATAAGATGAAACTAACCATCACAATTACACGCACACCTACAGAGAAGGAAATTGATTTCTTCAGAACACAGGGAGATCAAAAGGCTTATTATAATTGGTTTGTAAATGTGGTTGAGCGTACCCACCCACTCTCTCGAACACATCCACTAGTCCAGCATACAGGGAAACACGCACTCAACTGGAATAAACGCATCTGTATTTGAAGCAAATGTGATACAGGTAGGTGCTGTTGGTTGTGTAGGTGTTTACAGCAGAGATGTACAGTGATTGGCATCAAAGTGACTTCTTGGAATAGGGGGGGGGGGGGGGGGGGGGGGGTCTCTACAAGGAAAGGAAATGAGGTCGTCGTACTACAACAGACCACAGAAACACAGCAAGGGTGTAAAGGCTGGAGAATTGGGATATGAAAATGATCCTCACATTATGAGGATTAATAATCATATATGCTCCTGGCCCTTTCTCTCCCGAATCAAATTAATCACCAACGTTCCCCCTAGCCCAGCCTTTCCCTCTGCTCTTCTTCTTTCTTTCTTTCACCCACCTCCTCCCCCTCCCCTCCTCTCTCTCTCATTCTTTGCTAATTGGGCTATCTGAGGTGCCGACTTCAAAAGGCATCTGCTATCAAACACTGTCGGAAAAAGTGAGAGCAGTTCAGGGTATCTATACCCATTTTAGATGAACAGTGTATGAATTCAAGGCTTGTCACTGTCCTGCACTTTTCAAAAAATGGATAACCACATATGAACGACCTGTGTTTTGGATTCCTTTTACCTGTTATTACTATTAGAGAGAAGAAAACAAATACTAAAGGGTAGAAAACAGACACAGGCACTTCAAAGTGAGGGATTGAGAATCAGTAGCTTAAGGGAGAAAGTCTCCCGTCTGAAACCGAACACATTACGCCAACCATTTTTCAGCCACACATACTTCTCATGTAAACAATTTGGCTTTTACAATTGCAAATAGTCATATCAGGTCTCCAATGATAAAGCTCTTACACACGCAAAGCACAACAATGGGGGACAGAATGGCAGTCTTTTCCATAGTATACTTAAAGATAGCAGTAAAATAGGTTTCTCTACTACAATTATTGTTGGAGATTTTGCTAGGTAGGTTCTTATAAATTCCTTTGAATACCAAACTGTATCTTTGTGATCAACGACAGTGATAAATCAGAAGGAATATTCCCAAACTGCTCCTAGAGGTGGTGCACTTCCTGGCAACCTTGACATCCTCAGTAATCCAAAACTAACTCAATTAGAAGGACTAAATCATCCTTTTCATGTTGTCAGCTTGATTTTGTATTTTCACCCTGGTAAATAAGATGTTGAGCAGTATCTACCGTACTACTAACGGTGGCCTTGGGTGCAATGGTTGTTTGGCAAGTTAAGTAGTTTTAGACGTTAAAGGTGAAAAGACTTCAGGCAAAGAGGGCTTGACTGGAATAAATCAAGTAAGGTGAAGTTTTCCTGTGTGGACATGTTATATTCTTGCCTGGGCTCAGTATCATGGCTGGAATACAATCTTATCAGGCAAAAGAAAGCCTGTGAGGGTTTTAAAGTTAGATGCAGCTCAATTAGAGCAGATGCATTACTACATTAAAAAAAGAACAACCAATAATTACTTAAAGTAAAGTAGATCGTGCTCAGTGTTCTAATCTGTAAAAACGAAAATCTTAACATTTTTCCTTCATTGTTAGAAAATATTCTGTCAAAGTAATATATCATCAACAGGAGACAAACAATTGTCCAAGATTGTACCAGGATTTGTTTAGGTAAATTCATACATGCTCAACAGCTGGTGGGAAACAGGAGGATGAAGAATCACTGGCCTGATCTTCACTGCTGAACATGACCCTGTTTTCAATGAGAGAACAGATACGTAGCTGGAGATTTACAGACTGAAACGGAAATAACTACATACAGTAGATAGAGAGCAAAGTATAAAATACATGTAAACGTGTTGTGTGTGTGATTATGTGCGATTGTGTGTGTCAAAGTGTGGAAATGTGTCCATGAGAGCCATGTGCAGCCAGAGGGCGTGTCTCCCACCATCAGCGCTATGCTCTTCCACCAAGCGTCAGAGGGCAACACCCCTGACCCTGCCCTGAGCACAACACCCCTTGCACGTCTGTGTGGGGTGTAGTTGTGTGTGTGTGTGTGTGTGTGTGTGTGTTGTGTGTGTGTGTGTTGTGTGTGTGTGTAGCTCCAGCTGTGCTGCTGGGCAGCTGATGGAGAGCAGGAAGAAGAAGGTCAGCAAGGGTCAGCGGTTGCATCGATGTGTTGTCTGTCTGTTTACAGTGTAACGAAGAATGGGAGGCGCAAGAGGAGGATGAACAGGAGGATGAGGAAAAGTGAAGCCGGGCTTGCAGAAAGGGAGGGATTAGGAGAAGGATAGGGAGGTCAGAAGGAATGTATTATGCCTTCAGCGGTGTGTTTAAGCAAGAGAAGGAAGGACAAGGGGTGAAGGGTCAATCTGCATTACCAGAGCTGGTTGCTTATTGAGCGTGTATAAATATGCAACCGCAAACGCACAATCTTGACACAGTGTGGAGTGCTCTGAAAAAACCACAAGATGCTTACACAACAGTTCAATAAAATCCTAATTCTGTTTTTGAAGAATATGTTATTCTTAACTACCCGACAGATTCAAGAAACACACGAGAAATGAACAACACATACAGAGAAATAAACCGCACTGGACCTGGTCTCTTTCTTTCTCTCTCTCTCTCACACACACAGACACCACCACACGGTACATCCACACAGGCAGAGATACAGACAGGTGCGGGGCTATGAAAAGGCCACGGTTGTCTTTATAGTCAGCTCTCAGAAAGGTTATTAGGCATCAAACCGGAACAGGCGGCTGTCTCAGCCAATAAAAAGTGGAGGCATGGGTGCAAGGGCCGAGGGGGTCAAATCAAGGAGTGACAGGCGGACGTTAGGACTTGCCATCCAGGTGAATGCAGATGGAACAGCTGCCAACACTGGACCATTTAACTGACATCAACAGCTAGCATTAGCAACGTGTGCATGTGCAACTTCTGTTTATGTATATGACATAAGCAACAGTGTGTGCGTGCGTGTGTGTGTTACTGTGAGTAAATCTGAAGGTCAGACAGAATTATATACAAATCCACACACACGGTCTGTCTGTGATTTCCTGGTGTCCTGGTTATGATAATGGAGGAGTGGGAGCAGAAGGCTTAGTGACACTGGGACAACGGTGATAGGAGTGGACAGGTGTGCGCGGTGTGAGCGTTCGCCGGTGTGTCAGCGCTTTGTGCCAGGACAGCAGGTGGCTAGTCAAAGGACATCAGTGACCTTCTCCTTATCCCTTCCCTCTACCCTCCTCTCTTTGTCAATCTCTTCCTCTGTCCCCAAGTCCCAATTTATCACACAGGGCGCTCTGCCTCTGCACAACAAGTCACGGCACGTTGAGAAGATGAACACATACACAGGTGTGGGTGGTTTATTCATGAACTTTTGTGAGATTTCTGTTTTGACACTGTGTTGTTGAATAATGTAAATGCACAGTGTGTCCTCCAAGCAGAGTAAGTGAAAGGTGAGAAAGTCTGGAGAGGATGTGTGAAAAAATAACTAAATGAAGTGTGTGTGTGTGTGTGTGTGATATGCTTACCTTTAGTGGCTGATGGAAGAGGATTGAAATAGACATAGAATTGGGGAGAGAGGGGGGTGTGAGAAAGAGAGTGAGACATTGCTCATTACCGTGAAACACAACATGATAACAGTAGTGGTAAATAAAATAAAAAGCACACAAGCCAAAGCCACACACTCACGCTTTGTCTGTGAGGAGAAGGCCAAGGTGAGTTTGGCAAAGAGCTCGTTGTTTTCAAATCATGCTCTTTTGCCTTGATCCGAAACTCTTCTCAGAGAGGTCCTCAGACCCGATCTAAAAGAGAGAGAAATGCCAGAATAGACAGAGAGAGAAAGAAAGGGGGAGACAAGAGGTGTATTGTATCTGTTAGATTAGCCATATCATCAAATTGACTCAATTTTCCCAAAATGGTCATCTGTGCACCTGGCAAACAATGAGATGAGCAGATAAAGGAGTCGGCAGAACAAAAGAAACAGCCGGGCTGTAAAAGGAAGAGGGAGGGTATGATAGAGAGAGAAGAGGAGGTTGAAGGAAGGAAGCAGGTAGTTATGTTCTCTAATCTTCACAGATTGTCTCTACCACAAAGCATCTTACGCTCCAGAGCTTCACACACAGAAATACAAAGAAATACAGAGGGTTCCATTCTTTCCTGCTACGCCCTTACCCAGCTGTGTTCTCTACATCCCTCCCTTTGTCTTGATATTGCTCTTCCTCCCTCTATTCTGCTCTAAAGTCACAATTAACTTTGTATGTTTTTCCTTTACTTTCTGAGTGTTCTCATTAAAGGGAAGGAGAAAGAGAGAAAGTGAAACAGAGAGAGCGAGAGAGAAAGAACTGCTAGTAAATGTACAGATATCAGTCCTTTCATTATGGACAAAGCCTGAGGGATGGGGGCGTTGGACAGAGAAGACCGAGAGAAGGGAAAGAAAATGTGATATGGGGATGAGCTGAAGGAGCAAGAAAGAAAAGCAGGAGAGTACGCAAAAAGGAGGATGAGACCAAGCCAGAAAAAAAAGTTAATTTAAATTACAAAAGAATACTGTCCTTTCTAGCAGCAATTTAATTATCTTTCAGTGGCGCAGTTAAAAGAAGAAGGCTTATTAAAAAGCAATTTCTGTGACATCCTCGTCAAACACTCTCACCAGCCCGAGAGAGGCAAGAGAGAGAGAAGAGAGAGAGAGAAGTTAAATGCTGATGAAGTCTGCTGAAGCCATTAAACAGTAGCTTTAGGGCTAAAGAAAGACAGAAGGCCGTTTTGATGTTTTAAACCATCACAGATGAGAGGGTGGAGAAGAACATGAAGCACATAGTCATGAGATACACGCATGCACGCGAGTCACTTTAGGTCAAAATCTCACTGTAGAAGCTCCCTCTCACATATCTCTCACCCGGAGCTATTTCTAAATATATTTTAAACTAAACACAGTAAGATTCACTTAACTTTAAATTAAAGTCATATCTTCTCATTAGGAGCTGAAAAACAGTAGGCTGTATTAGCAGACAACTGGCTCATCGAAACAGAATACCACAAAATCAAGCAAGCAAGCGCAAGTTATTTTAATTGTTGTGAAACAATAATACCAAACAAAAATACCTGTATGCAAGATTTGAAATTTCTGGGGATTTCATGCGTCCACACAGCAGCGTTAAAAAATCTTGAAACGCTTCTGCTCATTCACTTGAATGGGGTGACGTCACTTTCCCTCACTTTTCGCCGAACTGCATTGTGGGCAGGCGAGCGGAGAGTTTTCAGGATTTTCAGGATTCAAAGTTGAACAATGTTCAACTTTTGAGGCTGAGGTGGAAGCGTCAGCCAATCAAATCCTGTGTACGCAAATCTGACCGTTCAAGCTCTAGCCAATCAAACGGCGTGTAAACTGGGAGAGACATACCGCAGGTCATTTCCTCATATTCCAAAAAATTGAGGAGAAATTAGCGGTAGGGAATCACCCGGTGCTTTATGACTAGTCCCTATTTACCTACCGGGATATAAACCGGAGGAGCCAGGCATGGAGGGAGGTGGCAGAGACAGTGGTATGTTTTCGCCTGTTTGGGGAGTTTATATCCAGTTTACTTCAAACTTTTTTGCTTTGTATGTCGGGGGCGGGAGATTCATGTGATTGGTTGTTGGTGCCTTGCTCGCAAAAAATCCCCAAGCTTCAGAAACGCCCACCTCCAAGATTTTTTTAACGCTGCTGTGTGGACGCTCCGTAATTAATGTGTTGCAGAGACGCATGGGGCTTTAATACTGATATTAACCATGTTGCCAAACCTATGCTGAAAAAGGTTTGTTCACAATAAAGAGAGATCTCTGAGGACATGAAATACTAACTGAACTCATAAATGATTTCAAACCTCACCTGTCTGGTTCAGTTAATCGTAGTCAGGTCAGGGCATGTATATAACCTGATAAGGCATACGTTTTGGTAACCATAGCACATATGCATGTCAGCATGTTCCTGATGAACAGGTCAAAAGCCGGTAGAACTGCTGTGCTTTTATCCAAATCAGAACACTTCATCACGTCCAATAAAAGTGACAGGAGCGCCTTGGGGAGCCAATGGTTAGGGACCGATGCCATATAGCTGCAAAGTCCCATGTTCCCGGGAAATATCTACTATTTTTACTCTACCAGATAAATAACTGATGATTTTATGATCACTTTTTCAAAAATGAATAATATATTGAACCATCTAACTAAGGACTGACCTTGCTCCAGTTGGCTCTCTTCAGTTGGACCTCAGGCTTGTACTCCTTCTTAGGCTTCGAGTCCAAAAGGCAGTGAGGGTGGTGCGGGGCCACCCCAGCCCCCCATGCCAAACGGTGGAGGGGGAGGCATGCCTGGGCCTGGCGGTGGAGGGGGGGGCACCAGGAAACCCTGGCGGAGGGGTGGTGGTGGTGGAGGTCCCATCCCAGGTAAGGGGTGGAGGGGGTGGAGGTCCTGGCATGCCCGGGAGGGGTGGGGGGGGTGGAGGTCCTGGCATGCCAGGGAGGGGTGGGGGGGGTGGTGGTCCTGGCATGCCCAGGTAAAGGAGGTGGAGGAAGAATGCCACGCTTGACCCGGTAAAGGAGGAGGGGGAGGGGACCCAGGCATATTGCCTGTCTGGCCAGGTAGGGGCGGGGGTGGAGGTGGATGGGGCATACCTGCATTCTGGCCTGGGAGAGGAGGGGGCGGGAGGTGGAGGCGCAAACTGGTGTTGGCCGGGAACAGTAACTTGTGACAACCTCTCGTCTTAGCCTCTTCCAGATCTTTAGACAGCTTTTCAATCTGCAGGAGAGTAATGAAGGATGTTATCATACATTTGAATCATAATATGACTCGATATACTATGTATGTATGTATGTATCGTATATGTATGTATGTATGTATGTAGTATGTATATGCAAGTATGACGAACGACTTGACTGTATATTGTTAATTCCTTGAATTGCTCATTATTGTGTATAGCTTTGGCAATCTCCACCATTTCAAAAGAATGGCCAGCCGACAGAGTGATTAGATTTGAGAGAAAGAAAGAGTGACGTAGAGAGGGATATTAAAGCATGGGAAGGATTGAGTTTTGGGAGAGATGGGGAGAGGATGGAGGACAAGTCACAAAGAGAAAAACATAACAGGGGGAATTAAGTCCAAAGAGGAAATCAAACGAAAAAAGTTTTTAAGAGGAAAAACTCAAATTAATTTAAAGTGAGCGTGAAATGATTTTTTTTATTTCCACACTGAATTACTAATCTCAGTATTTACATCAGTGAGGCACAACTCTTGAGAAAAACGGTCCAAGTCATTAAAATCAGCCAGCTAATATTGGCCTCTGCAAGGACGGTGCTTTGAGATGGAGTATACTTTACACAACTCGGAGCGTAGTACAGAGAAGTTGATTCACTGGGTGTGTTCGACTTACATAAGGTGTGTTGAGTGTGAACAGTGTGCCTGTGAAAGCGTGTCTGTCTGAAGCGTAACCAAATTGTTTGTGTCGTTTCCTCAGACTTTGAAAAGAAGACAGCGACGGACATAAAGGGCCTTGGAGGCAAGCTTTCTTAGTGAGGGCAGCAGATGAAGAGTTGGGCACAGCCTTCACACGGAGGGACAGTGAGAGATCTCTACATGTGAAGAAATCTTGGATGGGCAAGCGCCTCAAACACAGAGGAAGTGAGCCATCTTAGTATGAGAAGCTTGTCTGATGCCTGGCTGTGATGCTGTTGATGCATCGGACAACTGTGTGTGCATATGTGTGTTAGGACTTTTGTGTGGTGAGACGATGACTCTGCTGGCATCAGCCACTTTGGATGAAGCTCATTTTGGAAGCTGTGTAGTTCTCTCGCTGACTGACACGCACACAAACACACAGCGGAAAATCTTCACGTGGTCATGAGCACACATGCACAGAGGCAGACTGTTCTGGGTCACTTGGTGTGTTTGTGAGTTCGGGTGTCACTGTGAGGCAGAGTCCAGCTGGTGTGGCAGCAGGACACTGACAGCTAAACAATCCTCATCTTTGCCTCCCTACTGGATGAGTGTACACACACACACACACACACATACAACAACACATTCCCAGTGTGTGTATCTTGGCCTTAAAACATTCAGTTTGTGCCATCTCCATCATTTTCTTCTTTCTTCTCCCTTTAGTCACTCTTTATACTCCAATTCCCCCACTTTCCACTTTTTTTTATTGAGTTTCTTAATCTCTAAAGGATTTGGCTTATTCTCACAATATCCTTTTAGTTTGTTTCCTATTTTCATGCCATGCTGGCAGTTGGCCAACTCATTTAAGGCCAGGGGGCTTCTGTGTTTGTGTGGGTGTGCATAGATGTTGGACAACTTTTTGGTGCTTAGACTTCTGCAATATTGTATTCATCGAAGGCTCAAAATATTTCACTTCTTGCAGCTCTGGCAGAAGTTTCTGTTTTGTGTGGGTGTGTGGTTCCATTAACTCACTGATTCAATTATCTGACTCAATCTTTATGGACGTGTTCTAATGTTCTGGTTCTTTTGTATTGTCTACGGCATCAAACAATGATGGAAGTACTGTATGAAGTCTGTTGGAGCTGGTCACCTTGTCTGTATGAAGTGTCAGGTTCAGCTCACCTTTTAAATAGATGTAGGTGTGTATTGTAAGATGAATCCACTCAGCAAATACTTCTCTTAAAATGCAAGCAGTTCTATTTTTATACTTGGAGTTATTTGAATTCAAGAAAGGTAAGTATGTGTTTGTGTACCTGCTGTTGCAGAGTGCCTAGCTGTAGTTGCAGTCCCTGGTTCTCCTTTTCTCGGTCCAGCTTCGAATTGGCCAGCTGTTCCTTCTCTTGGCTCAAGTCCTGCAGCTTCTGCTCATAGTCACCCTCCAGTTTCGTCAGCTCCACCTGCAACTCGTGGCGTGATGTCAGCTCTGCATCCAGCTAATACACGTGTGGAAAGTCATAGAGAGGGACAGGCTTAGTTGCAGTATTCTTGAAGTGCACAGTAGACTTTTTGTTGGCTTTTCCATTGTTGTGCAGTGCTCAATTCCAAGAAGAATTCTCTTGAGGCGGGCAAAAAATATTCTCTCAGGCACTAACAAACGATCCAATTGGCAACAGGACTGCACAGATACGGTGCTATTGTTGAGAAAATAGTGTTGGTGATGTGTATGTTTTATGAATATTCAGTTAAATGCGTGCAACTTGTTCATATCCACCTGTCAGACTAAACTCTTCCCCTGGTTATTAGGCACAGACTCTAGTCAGCAAATATAAAGGACTTTTGTGCCAACTTTTGGTATCATGTAACTGATACCAAAACAATAAACGTACATTTACCCTAAAAATATTATTTTAATTGAATGATTGAATTCAAATTCAATACTGAATAGTATTAGAAATGAATTACCAAAGGAATATATTAAATATTTTACAGCATTCTTGGTATAAAATAATGGCAAATAATGGGTGTTTTGGGAGGGGTTCTATTACAGGATTAGGTTAGAGCTAGAGGTCTTCAAACGAAAGATCCTTTTCTATACAATTGAATTTAAAGGATGACTGAAGAGCAATAAAAGCTCAACATAAAATGCAGAGCATCGATATCAAGCCCAAAGTTACCAAAACACCACGGCTCCTCGACTGAAATATGGGAGCAAAGCATGCAAAAGCTTTTAGTCTCCCTCTCTTGCTGCAGCACTTTTTCTAGCTCAAAGACCAGTAGAAGCCATTCTTACAGTCTAGTGCTTTCAGATTCATTATATAATTGTACTGGTAATTAGTGTCAATTATTGAGTTAGAATGCTTTAGTGCACTTGTATTAGTTCACCGTCTCTCTTTCATTTTAAGCATATGCATTTTTTTTTTAAAGGGAAAAAAAGAGCATTTTGGTACCCTAGTTTAATGTCCCCACTTTCATAAATTGTCAAGTGTTTTCTTCTAGGACACTTGACAAACAGGATAAGAGTATCCAAACAGATGACAACATGAACACACAGACACACATGGCCGTTTCATTTCATTTCCGACAGCAGATCCGTTACTCTAGCTGTCAGCGTCCTGACAGCCTCATCCCTAATTCCTGCCAAAGAGACTGCCTGCAATTACCCCTAGCACTATGGTGTGTGTGTGTGTGTGTCAATGAATCCAAGTGTGTTCATGTAATGTGTGCTTGTGTGGATGTGCGTGGATAAATGGATATGATCCAATGCGAGTGTGTGTCTTTATGCATGCCTGAATGAAGGCTAGTTGCAGCTCTCTCTTTGCAATTATCCTGTCACTGGAACAGGAACATCAGGCCAGCAGCGCGTCGCAATCAAGGCATTTACCCCCCTGTCTGTGTGTGTGTGTGTGTGTGTGTGTGTGTGTGTGTGTGTGTGTGTGTGTGTGTGTGTGTGTGTGTGTGTGTGTGTGTGTGTGTGTGTGTGTGTGTGTTATTTGCTAGCCTATAGAGTATTTGTCTGTCGGACACATGAATTATCATTTCTCACTCACCCTCTGTCCATCCCTTTTTTCTTATTTGTCATCTCATGTCAGACAAACACTGGTCGCATAGAATTTCATTACAATCTCAATGTGTGTGAGCGGGAGATGTTGGCTTTAACAATGTATGAATCTTTTTTGATTGTGACTTGAGTGCTTTCTGGGATGACGTCAAAATATGTCTGTGTGTGACTTGCTGTTGCTTGTGTGAGCATGTCTGGTTATTTAACGTGAATCATTGTGAGTGCGTTTCACCTTCTTTTCCAGCTCAGATGCCTTGGCCTCGCTTGTTTCTACCTTGGTTTGGTCCACCATGTTGTCTGCGGACAACAGAGAGAGGACAGAATAATGGAAAAGAGAAAGAGAAAAAAAAAGGTGGTGGGTAAGATAAGGGTTTCAGACAATGCACCTGCACACGTCTGGAAGTGAAGACATCGCACCCTTCAGTCTGGCACATGCGGTGCGCCCAGATACACATTCACAAACAGATGCATACACACAAAGAAAGCATCCTATCGGTCTCCCTGTTTCTCCCTTATCACACCACTCAAAGTCAGATCTGTGAGAAGATTGTGGAGGCATCTCATTACAACAGGGTGCCATCTGTTGCATTCTGCTTCTACACATCATTACCTTTTAAAACATCCAATACATACACCTTTGTCTGGCTGTGTGTCTGTGCAAGAGAGGTGGGAAGCACACAAAATACATCTGACACCATTTTATAATAATTTTTATATATATAAAAAACTAAAATACTATATAAACAGTGTTAAAGTAATCCACTATCAGAGGTTCTTCTTGGTATAGGACCAGGTGAGAAGGACACATGCTGACCAATAGGGTTCCTTTGCAGAATAAGTGCAGGGCGGTGCCGTAAAATAAACTCATTAACATGAAGATGGATGCCACAAAGTCACCGGATGAAAGACAGCTAATCATGATCCCAGGAGAGGGATCAAACAGATAGATAGCAGAGATAGAAGAGCTGGAAAAAGCTAAATAGTAAATGAAGTAATGGAATAACTTATAGAAAGTGAGATATACAGATTGTGAAGAGATAAAGTTTGAGTCTGAAAATATGGCAGGTGGAAAAAGAAGTGGAGGTTTCCTTATATCTAGATAGGCTAGGCAGAGCAAAAAATGGGAAATCTATTTTGTGAGAGAGAAGATTTTGCCAGATGAAAGGACTTCACAATAATATGCCAACCCACACACAATTTCAGAGCGTGCATTTGTATGAGTTTACATGGTTATTGGATGCGTAATGGAAGAAGGGGGGGTTGTTACTTCTGTCATGGTGGCAAGGCTAAATGGGACAAACTTGGAATAGAGAGCACTAAGGGAGCCAGAATATGGGGAGAAAACTGTGCTGAATTTCAGAGTTCAAAGAAAAACACTAAATAATGCATGCAGGGCAGAATTGGGCTGCTTTCCACCGATAATAACTCTGGCAGCATTAAAGGAGGCCAGCCAGTTTGTGTGTATGTCAGGACCCATTTAGAAGCAGTGCAATTAGAGCCTCCTGCGGTGAGCAACGGAGACCCGCCATAAAGGAGTATTGAACTCTTGAGACATGGCCTGCAACTCCATTATGCTCTGGTTTGGTTTACTATAGTCAGCAGGTGTATCCTAGTCAGTTTGTAGTGCTGTCACTCAAGTCCACAGTTCCACATGCACTTGCCAAATTCAGCATTTCATGTGTGTGTAAAAAGAAAAGGGCCAGGAAATGACATGGATCAGGGGCCATCATAATGCTTTCTTGATGCCCGAGGAAAAGTCTGTTATGTTATTCCAGTAGCTGGTAGGCATTCTGTGTCTCGCTCACAGCCACTTATGATAGGTTCACAAGGTTTACCATTTTTTTTTTTTTTTAAATCCGTCTTAAAACTATAATTGTGTGCATACATGTGCATCAAATGGCTTTAAATAACTTGCTGTAACCACTACTAGCCATTAAAGATCGTTTCCAAATGTGCTTGCAATGGAAGTGATAGAGGGAAAACTATACAGTCAGCGTTCTGTGCAAAAACATATTTATCTGAAGCCAATATGAGGCTCCAGCAGTCTGTGTTAATCAAATCAAGTGAGAACCCTCCAAAGTCTTCCTAGAATTCCTTTTTTCTGTTTCCCCTGAAACAGTTTTCTCCAAAAGTGTTTTCTTGCTGAGCTGCAGCAAAGGCATAGCAACACAAAGAGGGAACATTGTACTGAAAAGGCAGTGACTTTGGAAAGTACTCAACTTGATTTGATTGACTCAAACTGCTTAAGCCTAGCCTATTTTATTATCAAGAAGAAATCTCTAAAATGGTCCTTTTTACTCCAGTTGAAAGGACATCAGGACAGGATCTTTAAATGGCCCGTTTGAAAAGGAGGAATAATCACAACTTTGATGCCCAATTAAAACACTTGTGAACTTATTCAAAAGGCACATGAACACATGTACCTGGGCCTTGCTGAATTCATACCTGTTTCTAGTATTAACACATTCACCACAAGCGCCTGAGAGTTTACATAAAACCAATTGTGTGTCAGGGATCAAACGTTGGAGATATCAGATGAATCTCACCTACTATATAGTAAAATCACACCCTTAGCTAAAGATCATATTTTACCACCAACCAGTTACTGTAAAACCTGTAGCACAATTCAGCTCAAAGGTACACTCTTCCACTCTGGCTCCACCCTGTGGTTGTACTGTACAACTGCACAATTGACAACCATGGAATTGTACACTGTATTATGACCAAGGTTAAATCACATAGGCCAGGTATAATCATGTCAGGGTTTGTGGGTGGGGCTGGCCAGAAGTGAAACATGGTTGAAGGTTCAACTCGCACAGCACTGAGCCACAGTGTTTTAGTTTAATGACTGTGAAAATGAATATGGCTCTTCATTTTTTAGAGTGTTTGTTGATGAGCAAGAAGGCGTCATGTATACTTGAGAAAAGGAAACGTAATATCATATGTGTTTTCTGGTCCATGAAACTCACCTATCAAGCCTTCGATGTTGAAGCCGATGCTACGGCACTTGAAGTCCGGGTCCGCTCCATTTCTGTGAAGCACAACCTGAGCAATACACTCGTCTATCAACTTGTAGTACTGAGGCCTGCAGGATGGAGAGAGTGACAGATTTACAGAGAGATGGAGTAGAAGACGGAGAGAAAGAAGTGGAGAGAGAAAATGGGAAGATGATGAGAAGGATGGAAAAACAATGGACGACAGTTAGTATGTGATGCTGGGGGAAAAAGGAATGTGTCACTTTCCACACCATACAGTACTTCACGTTTCGACCACAATGACATTTATAGCAAATGTTTTATAACAAATATTTATTCTATACCAGTGTAGCCTGCATTAATAAGAACATAATGTTGAGCGGGGCATGGGACTGAAGAGATGAAAGTAGGTTCATTTGTGTGAACACACATGCTTCGTCACTTTGTCTCTGTCTGCTACTGAGATTGGCTGTCTGTGTGACCATGACAGTTTGAGTTTCTTGTCACAATGATTGATTGTGTGCAACTGTGTTCTTGAGAGTGTGTTGGTGTATGTCCAGCGCCCCGTGTCTGATCAAACCAGCTTCACACAGACACTCCATTTTGGAGGTGTCTTTTTCCCTGACCCCATTAGATGCTCTCAGAGTCACAAACTCAATACTTTATTTATTCTGTCTCCCTGCATCTCGTCTCTCTAAGTCATTCTGCCTTTGTCTAACACTTATTCCACTCCTTCAATATACTTCAAGGTTTTTTTTTTGTAAAGCTTAGATTTATCCGTGGAGCGAGAGAGACATCTAGTGTCTTTCTGTAAAACTGAGACATGTTTGTTTGGCTACATCTTAGAGCTGGCATGTATTACAAGTCTGACCATGTTTACTTATTAGATATAATAGGAGAAATGTGGTTGGTAGACCTGAGGTTATACACATTTTGAAAAATTATAAAATACATATACGTGTCATTACATTTTTAAATCTATAAGGCTGTTTGCGGTCCGTGTACATGCTTAGTATGTGCATGACTAGAGGTATGGAAATACATTTAAGTGCATTTAAGTATTCTGTTAGATCCTCAGGCAACCATTTCCACTTGAGCTTGAGAAACTGTAAGAGCAAATCAGCAGGTGCTCTTTCATTCATTCCTACACAAATGCAAACCCTCCTTTTCCCTGTACGTCTCTCCCTCATTCCCTCAACATCTACCTAGCAATTTGCTTCAACTCTCAATTTCTTCTTCATTATAGTCTCGCCCTCCACCTCGCTTCTCTCCTCATCACTGTAATTAATCAAGCGGTATTTTCTGCCACGATACAGCTCTCCCTCCCCTCACTTCCTGCCTCTCTGAGGAGTCCATTACAGACCACCTCTGTTGTGGATCACAGATCACCTGGATGGAGGAAGCAGGACAGGAAAGAGGGAGGGATGGAAGAGAGGGGAGGTGAAAAAGACCTCAGCTGGGACCATTTGTTTGGTCCAACCTACCTATTCAAGCCTCACAATTTATTCCCCAAACTGTGTTAAAAATAAACCACAATCTCCTGCCTGTCTGATAGCATCACGGCAACACTGACCATCAACACTACAACATCAAATGTGTGCATGCCTGGGCAGGCTGTTGTGAGTGTTTGCCTGTTTTCTGTGATGTTCAGTAAAGCAAACACATTCCTCTCGTGTGTTGCTGACTGTGAAAGTGGACATGCGTGTACAAATGTGCGAACACTATGCCGTACAACTCTCCACTTCCTTAACATTATTCTATCCCCGTCTTGTCATTCAATTATTCACTCTTCTCCTCTCCTCTGTTTCCCCAGCTAAACCCCCAAGGGCTTTGGAAGACACAGGGAGAGACATTAGCATATTTCTGGTGATAAGAGGTGATGGCGTTCATTTCTATTAAAATGGAATTGGACTTCTTTGCATGTATTAATTTCTCAGCCTTTGAACGGTGCTCTTGAAAACAAACAGCAAATGGAGGACAGGACTGAGAGAAGGGAGAGGAGGACAACTACTTCTTCAATTCCTTTTGCCTTGATTGTTTTGCTTTACTTTTATGGGACTGCATTGAAACTGCAAAATCAATTGCCAGTGACTGTGACATGACTACTGTCTTTATGATATGGCTTGCATCAGGCTGCAATTGGGAATCTGAATTCTTATTCTAGAGTCAATCTCTGCATATTTGCCTTTTGCTACATGCAGTGTTTCTCTGAATTCACAATTATTCAGACCATTTGAATAATTACCCTCATTGTAATTTTCACCCACAAATGACATTCAACGTATGATAATGATAGAATGTATGTAGTCTCATCACAAAACCTATATCACCATTTCAGCTCTAATATGTGAGTGGCTGGGTCGGTGCAGGTGTGAGAGGGAATTGACATGTATGAGTGTGTATATGTCCGTGTGTTACCTGGCCAAGTAGTCATTACGGACTAGCAGCAGGTGCTGCATCATGGACAGGAAGTGGGTTTCTCCCTTGGAGTCCTTCACTGTGTTGACTAGGATCTCAAACACTTCCCTCACATCAGTGAAGCAAAAGCAGTTAAGGCTTAATTAACATAATACAATAAAAGAGTTCTACATTTTTTTAAATATACACAACATCTTTAACACAAAGTGACTATTCTGAATAGTCTTGCAGTAACTTTTGCTGTATATACACCATTTACAAGGCTTGGAGCAACAAACCTGAACACTGAATATCATGTATGAGTTCAGAATCTACAGTGAACTAGAGACCAGGCTTTTAATCCCTTCTTATACACTTTGTTGTATAGACACGATGAGATTCTAACATGTCTTGTACAACTACCACAACCAGTTATATCACACAAATATGTTTAGGTTTCAAAAATAATTTGACCTCAGTGGTTATTCAATGCTGCAGTAAGACTGTGTTTACACTGTGTTGGTTAGCCCTAGGAGACACCTGGTGTTGAAACATATTATTGCAAGCCACAGACTGCACACAGAATTACAGGAGTTGTTTGAATAATTTTTTAAGCTGTTAATCAAAGTGTGCTGTAGTAGTAAGAATGACTTTCTAACAAAGATCCCTGTCCATCCTGGATGTCACACCGAGTCAAAAAGCCTTAAACAGTAAGTGCTGTGTGATAAAGAACACAAGTCCTTTTAAATCTTAATCTGTAAACATGCTTTTTGTCAAACCAGTCACATCATGATAGACATAACGTTTAAAAGGGAGAGATCATATTGGCGAAGAATTGAGCTGCACACAACTTAGCAGCAATTGGACTGACTCTTATCTGTACAAAAATTAAAGAACAGATGGTTCTGACCTGCAGCAAAGCAATGTCAAAGTCCACCAGTGGTTGGATGTTTTGCTGTTTTTACCGCACTGCAGATGAGTAGCAAATGTCTGTGAGCTGCTAATTGGCAAAGACGGATTTGGCTGAAAAAAAGTCAGACAGGGTTACACTGCCCCTAGAGCCTGAAAGATTATGCTTATCAAGTATGAAAATATTCATTTCTGTTACGAAAAAAAGTAAGGGGTCGGGTTTATAACAGGGAAGAAAAGAGAAATCAGATTTTGTGTGGATTGCTCCTTGAAAACTAATTTTATAGTAAAGGGACACGTGCATTGCTATTTCCTATTTGTTTGTACATATTCTTTCAAAACATTATAAAAGTTATTCCTTTGACTCTAGCAAATAAAGTAAAAGTGAAAACACAAGCATGCAAAGTTATGTCGTAACCACGTATATAGATTTTCAAGCTCAAAAAGTTGACCCTGAGGGAACATTTTTGCCCAGTGGAAGGATATTCCATCTCAATGCGGATGTCATCAAGACGTGCTTTGAGGTCCTCAGAGTCATCTTCAGCCTGCTCATCAAACACGGTGAGTTGCACCCTCAGCTCTTCGTTTTCTATCTTCCGCACCTCCTGCAGAGAGAGCGATGGGATACAGGCGGAGGGATGAAAAGGCAAGCGGGAGAATGACAGGGAGAATGTGACAAACATTGAGTAAGGACAGTTGAGAGAAAAAAATTCACAGCATAAGCAAGACAGAGGCATCAAGAGAGAGAGAGAGACATGAAGAGTAAGTACTTGTGTGTGTTGTTAGAGAGTCACTTTGAAAACATCAAAAGAGAGTTTTTTTCTGTACCGTCAGCAGCTCTCTGAGTCCCAATCTCAGCAGTTCAGAGCGAATATGGATCCTGAAGTCCAGCTCTTCTCCGCGGCTTATCAAGGCGTTGATTAGCTGCATGCAGCCACCCTGTTGAAAACACGCCGGAAAGTTAGCTTCACAATTCAGACTAACTGGAATTATTAATAACTTTAATACAAAACACAATAAGTATCTGCTGAGTCAGTCTTTTACAGGGCAGATTGCATTGACTAGGGCTGTCTATCAAATGCAATTGGGTCTGTGTCTTTTATCAACAAGAATACATGTGGGGATTTATCATTTGTAAAGTGCGTGTGGATGTGCACCTTTAGAGCGATGTTGTGATTTCTCATGCCAGAAAGGAGAGGCTGGAACCTTTCGATGTCCTGTCTCTCTGCCTCCTCTGTGATGGCCTCCAAAACACGCTCATGACTGCAACAAAAACAGACAATTATGCATCTGATATAAAACATTGCTATATGCTGTTACTAGAGAGGCACAGACTTAATGTTAATGGCCGAATCATGCCAAGTTGCCCTCAGCCTATTGGCAAATGAGATGACATTCATCCATGGCAGTGTCTGTTTTGTGCATCAGTTTAGCACCCGATAAATGTCCTTTCAGTTATTTGCAGGCAGACCCTGAAGCAGTCCCTGGCATACCTCAGGGATGAAGGAGCACAATGGGTAGCGGCATGCACATGTGGTTTGTATACAAATGAAAGAACATTTTGACCGTGTGGGAGTGTTACATACAATGTCTCTCCAGAAATGGGGCCACTCTAGGATGTTGGAGAAATAATCACCTCCATTTTCCAGCATTATGTGCTCCATGGACAGTGAGGAGCTCTTTGTCTCACATTTTGGATAAGAAAGGAAATAGACTGAGTGGAGATGCTTAATCAATCTTTAGTATCATTAGTAGTGAGTGGGCAATAAGTATAGGTAGTTGTTGTAGCAGGATGAAATGGCTTTTAAAGACGCTATTCAGTTATTTTTTGCACTCTCATTTGCACTATGTACATCATCTTTTTTGATATATATATCCTGCTTACTTGAAGTAAACGGTTATTTTGTGGGTTTTTTGTAAATATTGAGTGTTCTTGTACTTTAATGTGTGTTTTTTGTATATCTCGGGACTGTGGGAAACAGTAATTTGATCTTTCTGTGTGTACAAACATATTTTGAGATTGACAATAAAGTTGACTTTGACTTGATTTAAAAGAACAATCACCAGTTAAAAATGTGTATCGGCTCAGTATCTAGAATAGGTGCATCTCTAGTTGTTACATCAAATATTAATACACAAATACTACATTTGCCTTGAAAATAATGAATGCAGAAAAAAGTGCATTCTGTCACTTTGCTTGACAGTTTTAATTGAAACCTGACATACAGGTGAAAGAGACAAAAGTATGTTCAGTTATAAATATAAAATGCTGGATTATTCCTAATTGCCAACAGAAAACATTAGACTTTGAACGGTGAACAATAATTGGTTTTCCAGGGTCATCATTTCTGTACATTATATTAAAAGGACATGGTGTCAGAATCTCCCTAACACCTACAGGTTCTCAGGATGTTCCATTATGGAGATGGCAGAAAGCAGCTTGACAGCGTCCACCATCATGTGAGACACCCGGGGGTTGATGGCTTTGACCAGCAGAGGAATCCCTTCCACTGACTCCAGCATGGATTTTAGGCCGCACTAAAGACAGAAAGAAAGTGTGATGATGACAGAAAGCTAAATGAGCAAGATAACGATCAGCCTTTCATGTTTAAAATGATAGTGTTTACATCAGAATTGATTTTTCTCTTGCAGGCTCCACATCATTTACACTCATTAAAATGATGTGTAATTATTAAATGTGATAGATTCCTGAGAGATTTATGCTAACTATCTAGTGTTGGTTGCATTCACAAGTAAAAAAAAAAATGAAAGCACAAGAGTTATTATTGACAGCATGTATTGAACAGCCAAGTTGGTCACATTGACTTTATGCCCTCTAGTGGAAGAAGTGCTACACTGCAGATAGGACACAACATGGGCTTAGAATGATTCTATTACTTGGTCTGTTACAACTACAGGCAACAACAATGTAAATGTAATAATACATTGTCTTACCTTGTTGTTCATGAAGGCTTTTAGACAGCGGATGATCTCGTGTTGACATTTCACTCCGATATGTCTAGTTTGTGGAGAAAAGTAGAGATACAAAAAAGACATTACAAACACACTGCTAAAGAGTGAAATTGCTTATCGTGTGGTTTAAATGTCTCACGAGCACTCTTCTTTGTCGTCCTGTAGTCTTCTAAGCAGATTCAGCAGCAGGGCCAGCCCCTCATCTCCGAAGTTCTGCACCCAACTGGAAGAGATGAGAGGACATGATCGATACACTGTACTTTCATATTTTCACATTGTATGGCTCACTTTCTATTTGGTGGTTTTTCACATTGACATTATCTTGCAATTGTATGTTAGAAATAATAATACAAATGTAAAAGTGTTGTGTTTTTTTTTTACATTTCAGCTAAAGCATTATTTGTTGCCTTCTTGGTACTCCTTTGAACGTACTGAATAGAGAGAGATACTGCGTTAATTGTGACAAAGACCTACTGAACCTACTCTTAACCTTAAAGTCCTTTTAGGCATGTATAATTTGAGTAGCACTAGCATGAAGTACTTGAATTTCTGGTGTTAAAGTCAACTTCATAATGTTGAAAAATACGGCGTTTTCTTTTCATGACACATTTGTTGTTACATTTTCTTGGCTAAATGATAACTTGTTATGTTGTGTATGTAGCTGACGCTGTAGCCTGTAGGCTTTCTCTTATACAGAAGAATCGCTGACACAGTGCTTAAACAGTGTTTTGTGTAAGTAACTGAACTTGCATTGCCGTCTGCCATTTTGTTGTGATGTGTTGTAAATGAATAATAATATATGTTTCTAGAATATTGTAATCGAAAAAAATTAAATAAATGTAGGGCCATATCTACCACAGCTGTGTGAGGGACTGAACAAAATGTTGCTACCTTTAAGTCAGCTTTTTAAAATAAAAGCTTCTTAATTAGCAAGTGAAGCATATGTAAATAGGATGATATCACCTTTGCACCTGAAGACACTGCAATGCTTTTTCTCTTTCTTTGTAAAAGGGCTTAAGTTCTGTCAAGTTACATGGGGATAATTAAAGATCAGTGAAGTTTCAATTGGATCGAGGCCTCGAGATCACACAAGGAGATTGACACAGTTCATTTGAAGGAGTTATTGCATGAATCTGGTTTGATGTGTTATATGAATAAACACTGTGTGTACCTCGATATGTATGTATGTATGTATGTATGGATATATGTATGGATATATGTATGGATGTATGTATGGATGTATGGATGGATGGATGGATGGATGGATGGATGGATGGATGGATGGATGGATGGATGTATGTATGTATGTATGTATGGATGTATGTATGGATGTATGGATGTATGGATGTATGGATAGATGGATGGATGGATGGATGGATGGATGGATGGATGGATGGATGGATGGATGGATGGATGGATGTATGTATGTATGTATGTATGTATGGATGTATGGATGTATGGATGTATGTATGGATGTATGGATGTATGGATAGATGGATGGATGGATGGATGGATGGATGTATGTATGTATGTATGTATGTATGTATGTATGTATGTATGTATGTATGGATGTATGGATGTATGTATGGATGTATGGATGTATGGATAGATGGATGGATGGATGGATGGATGGATGGATGGATGGATGGATGGATGGATGGATGTATGCGTGTGTGTTACCTGACAGGGTTGTTGTTGAGTGAGACTCGCAGAGATTCCAGACAGCTCAGCAGCTGTACGTCTCTGTAGTCTGACTTTAACTCCTGGATGTACATCATGGCTGATTTGGTGCTCTCCTTCTGGTTTTGACCCTAATCAACAAAAACAAACACAAAATCACTTTGTTTTTTGCATTTATATGCATCTTGTTACAGGTTGTAATTGGTGTTCTCTTTACAAGCAAGCACGCGGCAGAGCACCAAGGGCAACATTTAAGCCTAAATTGACATTTTGATTAGCAGATTTCAAGGGTACTGTGCGCAGTATTGTCTCTTAATAGGCTTATTTCACAGTTAAATGAACTCTGTTAGGAACCATCTGTGCTTGCGTATATAGGTCCTTCGAGCTACTCTCTTTCACTATGTTTGATTATTTTACACCTGCTGCTTTATTTACCCAATTATGCATTGGTAGCTGGTCTTTCTAATGCTGGTTGTGCTTTTTATTAATTCTACATTCACCAGGGAATATATTTGGATAATGTCTATAACAAAGCAGTCTTGAGTCACAAACTGCAAGGAAAGGGATCCCTGAACAGAGTCAAGGGAAGGCATTTGACTCCACATTTGAGTAATCAATTAATCAAATATTGTTAGAGCCATTTTCATTTATTCATTATGGTTTGAATGTTAGGCTTAATAATTATATAAGGATTTACATTAAACTCTTAATCATTTATTTTTGTGAGTCACACTATGGTTTAAAAGATATTAATTTAAGGCTCACTTATTTGTTACCAAATGTGCATCAGGTATCACGTGCATGTCTAAATGCCTATATATATGGCAGGACAATGGGACACAGCCGATTGTGATGAGAAGGGGAAGCGGTAAAGTCCTTTGACCGTGCTCTTTTTGTTCTTTTTTGATACTGATAACTTTGAGTTACTATGAAGCGAGGAAATGTGTCTTCCTGTTTCTATGCCGTTTGGATCAATTAATAAAGCTGATCTGATTCAACAACGATCTCCGCTAAATGTGTTTGGAAACAAAGAGAGGCGCGTCAAAACCATAGACTGTATATATAAAACCCACAACCCCGACAGAGAAGTGGCTATTAAATGTAGACACGGATTAAAACGCCACCACAAATATAATAGTGTCACTGTATGATCGGATCACTTTTCTTATTTGGCCTAAAAAATACTTCTGGTTTCATATATTTTATCACTTTGGTTTTAAAAATAAATATGACAAAACCCATATGGGGCACATTAGCACAGGACAATACGGCATGTAAAGGCCCAACAGTTTAGTTCTTCTGAGTGTTGAAAAACAACAACTTGCATGAAGCACTCTGTATAAGCAACGTGTATTTTGGTACTGACCGCTTTAGACGTGTGGAGGTACTGGGAGACCATCTCTCGTTTGATCATAATGTCTTTTGCCCTGAGAGGCTGCTGCTTCTCCCCATTCAGGTTCATATCCACCTGAAGAAAGACAGGAGGAAGGGAGTTAGAAGAAGAGACAAATACGGTTGGATGATGATCATTGCATGATGACATTTAAATCTGTAGACTCATGCAATTAACAAACAGAAAATGCATAATATAATGGGAATCACTTTGTATTTTATGAGATATTTTTCTTATAGTCTTTACTAAATTGAAGGCAAGGGATATAAAGCCCCCAGTGAGATGATAATGGATGCTAGGAACATAAGTCTAAAAGTGTGAGGTTTGGATGTGCTAAGTAAGATAATGAGGAGAATTATTAGATAACGTCATAACTTTTAGAAATGTAAACATTTAAGTCGCAAGAAATGTGTGTTTTGTGTTTAAAAGGAAGTACTTCACATTTGTGTTAAAGCATACATATTGGGAGCAAACACAGAAATAATGAAGGTATCTGTGAGAGGAATATACAATGTACACGTTTCCATGGCTGTTCACAGGACATGATGAACGGGTCATTCTCCAAAAGCTGACTCTTTCCCACACAAACCAACACAGTCTTTCTCACCAGCATCTGTTCGAACAGGTCCAGGACAGATTCATCTGAAAGATCGTGCAGCATTGGACTCTGAGCGTTGATCTCGTAGTTGGCCGCTGAAGAGTGCCGCTGACTTGGGACCGGGCCGGGCTTCTCCTTGTCCTTCTTCATCCTCATGCTGGTGAAACGCTCCAACTGGATTATCAGACAACATGACACGGGTTAGAGGAAAGGGGTCAGAGAGAAAAATAAACAGTGTAAGCATCACTGTAAGGACACACAACAAGCTGGCAATCCCTAATCAACTCCCAATGTTAAATAAATGAACAAATATCAAATGCATTAGGGCTATTTGTAAATGAGTTTTAGTATTTTATGTTTAGTTGAAACATTTCAACAAAGTGGACGAGGATTAGGGATTAAAGACGTCAAACATTTTGCCAACAGACATTTCACACATGCAGTGAGCACTGACACGAGCAGAGCATAACACTCGTTGTTTGATAAAGGAATTGTAAAAGAAAATGACTTTGTGTGGTTATATGCTAAACCTTGTGTTGAAGAACATACATTTTCGGTTATACATGTAATCTTGGCACATTCTGACATAGTGACCGTGGAAAATGATTAATGAATAATAATCTGTTAGTATAAGTATGACTGGCATCCTCCATGACTGCATCCTCAAAGCATGCACATACAGTGTGAGTACAGCACAGGACAAAACACACACTTAACAACATTTGTGTTATTGTGGATAAGGTTTGTGTGGCGGACATTGTGAACATGACAGGAAATGGATAATTGTCAGTTGAGTTATAGGTAACAAGGACAAATGGAGTCAAGCACATATGTGATGGTCGAACGCAATAGCAAACCTACCTCGTCAGGAATCAGGCGTTTGAGTTTCTATAAGGGACGAATGGATGATGGGGAGAAAAATGTAATGGAAGGGAAGGAATATCAAACAAACGGATTGAGGGAGAAAAAGAGAAAGAATCAATTAGACAGAAATTAAATAAAACAGGAAACAGATCCAAGAAACTGTCTACAGAGTTCATAAGAGATTAACGGTAGGACAGAAGGAAACACCGTCAACAAATCACTGTCATAACTGAATGCAGTCATTGATACACATTTATAGAGAACTCATTTCATTAAATTGGAGTTAAAGTTGAGGAAATCAAAGGTCTTAATGGCATGAGTGACCTATAGGCAGCAGATCAGCGGTCAACACTGATCAGTCAAAGGCTCAGAGAAATTGTCAAATCTAATATATGTAAAATACATTTGCATCTCTTGGCCACAAGGTGTCAGGCTAGCTCTACTAATGTGCCCATAGGAAACCCAATGTTAGCAGCAACTCTCAAAAATGACAAGCACATGCCCTGACAAAGTCCAAGCTAGGCAAATAACATCAGATAATATCATTCAGAACCAATATTAAGGTTACGAAGTAGAGGGGATGAGCCTGAAGTGAAAAACACTGCTTTCAAGAACCTTATCAAAAGTACAACAATATCCACATTTAGTTCTTGATTGAAAGCTGGCCTAGTATTAGAATATCAAGTCAATACTTTGTCCACATATATTGACAGAGAAAAGCAAAAGTCACAAGACGTAAACAACGTACAATAAATCAAAAAGCGAGTTAACCTTGGGGGGTTGGGTCCCAGAGGCAGAGGTCAAAGTCTTCTCATTTAAAGAGCACACAAACGGAGTCAAAGCAGTGCTATTCACTGATGCTGTCCCTGTGTAGGAAAGGTGCATTAGCCTGTGTGTGTCTGTTGGTAGACAAAACAACTCCAGGTAGGAAAAGCTTTTTGAAACTGAATTTAAACTTGAAAAGGTTTAAACAGGTTGTTGTGGCGTTGCTGCTTGTTGATCTCATTTGAATGAAGTCAAGATCGAGTTTCTTGTTGAAGCAAAGACAAGACCAAAAGAGAAAATAATAAACATGATTGTAGGTATCTGCAACTTTAACAATTCAAGAGCACACATTTTCACTTTTATATTCATATTATTATTACACCGAATTCATCAACATGTAGAGGAATCCTGCCGTGTTGTGAGAGCAAGCACACACACACAAAGTGATCATATTATTATTTATTTTTTTCATAGTTACTATTCTATAACATCGGGTGTTTATTTGCTGAATTTGTGTTTTCCCGTATACTTTATATTCCGATGATAAATATTTCTATCTAATATTCTCTGAAAAGTGCGCTTCTCTTTGAGGTTAATATAAATGGTAAAAAGTATAGACCTAAATAGCTTAAAAGTGTAAAGTGGCACATTATAGCAATATATCTGGTTGCCTTTGCAACTTAGATTGTTTCATCCCATTTTCTTAAAAGCTCCACTTATTGTTTCAGCGAGAGTCAAAATGTATTTTATTGTGTATCTTTTACCTCCAGTTTGCTCATTGCCTCAAAGCTCTAGATCAAAACAGGTCTAGAAAACTAAACATAGGACAGAACGTTCCTATATACAGCCTCCTGCGATACGTCTGCTTTGTATCATGTGGATCCTGCTGGTGTAAATGCATATATCTTTGCTTTTAGGTGCCTAGAACACCCAGCAAAGACGTTTACAACCGTCATTAAAACATTCACACATGCCCTAAAAAGTTCTTAAGGGAGCAACTACACCAACATCAAAGTATTTTATTTGTATCATTAAAACTCAAATTAGAATAGTAAAAGATCCCATTAAGAAAAAGGCCAGAAAGTAGCAATGCTTCCCGTGTCATTACTAAAGTCGACTAAAGAATGACTAATGCTTTATTATTTTCTGGTGGCAATCAAAATGTTTTGTTTGTGCGAACACCTGCTGACAGCCTTGACGATGTTTTAAAGGAAATAAATGATGTTGAGAAAGGCAATGAATGAAGGCTGAAGTGGGATCTGCTGCTAGAAAGCCTTTGTTCCAATTATATTGCATTTTGTTTCATCTTAGAATTACCTGCTACTTTCCACACACACACACACACACACACACACACACACACACACACACACCACACACACACACACAACACACACACACACACACACACACACACACCACACACACACACACACACACACACACACACACACACACACACCACACACGACACACACACACACACACACACACACACACACACACACACACACACCACACACACACACACACAACACACACACACACACACACACACACACCACACACCCACACACACACACACAACACTACACACACACACACACCACACACACACCACACAACACACACACACACACACCCACACACACCACACACACACACACACACACCACACACACACACACACACACACACACACACACACACACACACACACACACACACACACACACACACACACACACACACAGCAAAGAGTCTTCGCACATTCAAAAGATCACTGAACAAACACCAAAAGGGTATTTATTATTTTGTCTACGTAATTCTTTATAGGTTTTCTCATACCTTAGTGTAGTAAATTAGGGATGCTCCGATCGCCAATTTTGGGGCCGATGACCGGAATCAGTATCAGGATTTCTGCTTCACACTAGGGCTGCAACGATTTTGGGAAAAAATGTAATTGCGATTTTTCTGACAAATATTGCGATTGTGATTCGCGATATTTTTTTTTAAGGCGACCCAACGGACGTTATTGTAAAATGCGGCCAGATCTCCAGCTAGGAAGGTTGCATCAACGTGCTCCCGTCTCTAGCACCCCCGCAGCCAGAGCTACGAGTGAAAGAACTAAACTTACATGAAACTTCCGTTGGGTTGCTTTAAAGTCAAGCTTCAGTTTAAGATTCACCCTGTAATAGATGTAAAACGTGTGATGGAGCATTACTAACCTGACTCAGATGGTTTGTTTCACCAAACCATCTAGGAAAGCTCCATTGGAAGCCATTTGGAAAAGGGCAGGCACTTTCAAAAATACTTGGCAGGTGATTGGATCAATCTGTCTATCACCTTCTATCATGGGCCACTTCTGATTGGTTAACAATGGCTGATACATGTGGAGCACAGCACTTCTGATTGGTGTGGATGACTGACACACAAGAAGAAAAATGTAAAAAAAAAAAAATGTAAAAAAAAAAGAAGAAAATGTTAAAAGAAAATCGCAGGCTTTGCGATTTGATAATCGCATCATTTCCAATCGCGATTTCGATTTAAAATCGATTAATCGTTCAGCCCTACTTCACACACTTTGCACACTTTTTACGGTATTTTTCGGACACCTTAAAATACTGCCAGACTGGTGAAGCCATTTTGGAGAGCTTGTTTTGCCGCGCACAGAGAAAAGTGTCATGTATTTTACGTCATGTGATCGGCTCTCCTGATCGGCCTTTATAAAGAACACCGATCGATCGGCAGAGAGTGAATATCGGCCGATAACGATCGACGGCCGATCGATCGGTGCATCCCTAGTAGTAATTAAGACTTCCTGTGCAATTGTCAAGGGCCTTTACACCTCTTTAAACCTACAATAATGTGGGCTGCCTACAATAACAGCAACAAATGGACAGGTTAATCTAGAGCAAGAGAATAGGTAAAGAGGAGGGAGAAAGAAAAAGGCACTTAGATTATGGGGAGAGCATTCAAGGGAAGGATGGTTCGGCTTACACAGCTGCCATTAAACAGCCCACTTACCCATGAACACAGACAGGGGCTGAAACACAGACACACACAGCTGTGGTGGTGCTACTAAGCCCACAGAACGGAAATATACAGCTAACAGCGGGCACAGAGGATTGTGGGTAATAATCGCTCAGGAAACTGAATATGAGGAAGGAAGACAGTGATAGAGATAAATGCGAAGGAGGAGAAAAATGTGTGTAAAGTGTTCAGTTCCGCCTTTCAACCCACGAGTACAGTTGACAATACATGCACTCATATATAAATTCACCAGTGTTAGAGTGTTAGAGCAACGGCTTTCTTCGAGGGCGTCAAACGGGCCTGAACTGTGTCTCTGTCTGAGAGGAAGCATGAAGGCAACAGTGAATCGCCTCAGAATTAGTTTAAAAGTACCAAAGCCTCAGTTAAATAAATGTGAGCAAATGCTATTGAGTATTGTAACTGGTTGTTTATACAGCTGGACAATATAGCTGAATTTCATACCTCAATAGTAAAAAGAATATTTTCAGATATACAGCAAATGTCATTGACTGTAAAAATATGTATCAAAAAACGTAACTGTCTATCTGCAACTGTTTTTCCCTGTTAAGCATCAAGAGTTGAGACAGAACTCTTTCAAAACTGACTGTGTGTTAGATTTGAATTACATGTATATCATATATCAACTTAAAAAAGATTTTGTAAAAAGAAAGCATGATATGATTAATAATCCACTGAACAATGATACTAAATCATTACGCTGCTCAAGTATACCATCACAAAAATCTCTATGAATGTGTGTACACATTCATAGAGATTTTTACACGTGTCAGTGACATTGATCCCTAACAACACTGAAAAATAATCCACACAATTAGGGTTAGGTTGAAAAAAAGTTGACCTTACAAAATGTAATGAGTATTTGTTTATGATAGGTGTTGGTGGAAATTAAAAGTGCTAATTTGCAAGTGAGAGGATATTTATAAAATTAGGAAATGAAACACAATGCACTGATTGCTTCTTTGCAATTTTCTTTGCAGGACAAACCCCCTCCAGTGCCGACACGAAGCCCTTTACAAAACATCCACACATGCAAACATCCACACATACACACACACGTTGAGCCTTAAGTGTTCCAGAGGGAGCGTTAGTACACAGCCTTGAAGGCAGAGGCAGAAATAAGGAGGATGGGGAATGGGCTCTGTCTCTAGGACCAGACAGCCTAAGAGAACACAAATCAGCAGATGCATTTGGCTTGTGAAACTGAC